GTCCGCTGCTCCGTTGCTGTGGCGCCTTCCGCCGCCACCAAGGCGTCCAAGGAATACAAGTTGAAGTCGGTCAAGGCCCGGCAGATCATCGACAGCAGAGGCAATCCCACGGTCGAGGTTGACCTCGTTACTGATGATCTCTACCGATCCGCTGTCCCCAGTGGGGCCTCCACTGGGATCTACGAGGCTTTGGAGCTCAGAGATGGGGATAAAAGCGTTTATGGAGGTAAAGGCGTGCTTACTGCTGTCAAGAACATCAATGACATCTTGGCTCCAAAGCTCGTCGGCGTCGATGTCAGGTGCAATTTGCAATTACGTCTATCTAATCAAATTATTTCTTCCACTTTCAATGAATATGAACATAATTCTGCTCTCTTAGTATATACCTCGTTTGGAAATTGACTGCAGATCGGATTTTATATTTAAGTTGACCATCTATACCATGTCTTATGAATCCACTTTCTAGGACTAAAATTGCGCAAAGAGATTTATCTCTGAAACTTCAAATACTTACGCTGCCTTTTCATCCTGGTTGGGATTTGTGTAGAAGGTGTGAGTTCTCGGGTGTGTTTGGAAGTGAGAGTAGAATGAGTGATTTTGAAATAAGAGATTTAAGGATAATTGATTTTCTAAAATCACATCAAATACCTTAAAAATCAATTTAAAGTGATTTTAAACTTTTTAAAATCAATTTTTAATTTGCCATGATCAATGGAAAGCGAAAATGATTTTGACAATGGCAATCAAAATCACTCCCAAACAGATGATTGTTGCCAACAAGGACATGAAGGGAAACAAAAGACTGGAAAAATTTGTAGCTCAAACTATGTGGTTTTTCGTTGAACTTACTAATATGTACTCTTGACTGTGGAAATGTACCTCTTCTTACTTATGTCGTCAGTTGTTAATTGGTAGTGTTTTTATTCAATTTGTTCCTGAAGATGTAAAATTCCAAGCCTTTTTGTTGTTCCTTCTATGTGAAAGTTGTTTCGCCTTCCACTTCTGCTTCCTACCTAAGCTTGTCAACTTTCTCTAGAAATCAAGAAGATGTTGATGCAATTATGCTGGAAATTGATGGAACCACGAACAAGTCAAAACTTGGGGCAAATGCTATTCTAGGAGTTTCTTTGAGCGTATGCAGAGCTGGTGCTGGCGCCAAGGGACTACCGTTATATAGGCACATCCAAGAATTATCAGGCACAAAGGAGCTTGTTATGCCAGTTCCTGCTTTTAATGTTATAAATGGGGGTAGCCATGCTGGTAATAATTTAGCCATGCAAGAATTTATGATCTTACCAGTAGGTGCTACATCTTTTGCTGAGGCACTTCGCATGGGAAGTGAAGGTAAGAAGCTGCTTCTTTAAGTACTGCAATTTTCTTTTCCATTGTTACTGTCATAGTTTATGATAGTCTCATATATAGTCTTGTTTCTGACTTATAAGCATGATTTAGGGACCGTTTCTTCGACTTCTGTCGCTTTCTTACTTTCCTGTCATTAGCGAGTAAGAAATAGCCTGACTTTTGTGTTTTCGTATGAACAGTTTATCACATACTGAAGGGAATTATTAAAGCTAAATATGGCCAAGATGCTTGTAATGTTGGAGATGAGGGTGGGTTTGCTCCAAATGTTCAAGATAATAGAGAGGGACTGGTATTGCTAATTGATGCCATTGAAAAGGCTGGTTATACAGGAAAGGTACAGGATACTATATTTTCCTTTTTGTTTGGTATGGTGTAATTGTTTTCTTACGAGTCCTGCTAAGATAAAAAGGTTTTATTTTGATGCAGATCAAAATAGGAATGGATGTTGCAGCTTCAGAGTTTTTCACTAAAGATGGAAAATATGATCTGAACTTCAAGAAACAGCCAAATGATGGAGCTCATGTTCACTCAGCTCATGGCCTCGGCGAACTCTATAAACAGTTCATCAAAGATTTTCCTATTGTTTCCATCGAGGACCCATTTGACCAAGATGATTGGAGTTCCTGGTCTTCCCTACAATCTTCTGTTGATATCCAACTTGTAGGAGATGACTTGTTGGTTACAAATCCAAAGAGAATAGCGGAAGCCATTCATAAAAAGGCTTGTACTGCTTTACTTCTGAAGGTAAGAAGCCTCTTATTTGATTCTTCCGTTTCTCTCTGTTTCAAAATAATTCTACGATTCATCCTTAAAATTTCATTTGTTCTTTATCCCCTGAATCTTCAGGTTCTCCATTGACTTAGGCTGACCAATCTCTATATGCAGTTAGAAACATGTCATTTTGATACTGCAATTAGCTCATATGTTTGGAATTTATTTTGCAGGTGAACCAGATTGGATCAGTAACAGAATCAATTCAAGCTGCTCTTGATTCAAAGGCTGCTGGTTGGGGTGTGATGGTCAGCCACCGAAGTGGTGAAACTGAAGATAATTTTATTGCTGATCTTTCTGTTGGCTTGGCTAGTGGACAGGTTTCATTTATCTTCAGCTCTGCCATCTATAACTATAAAGCATCTATGTTGCTGCATAACATTCATAACTGAATATTGGGTTACTCTTTTACAGATCAAGACTGGAGCTCCATGCCGGAGTGAACGGTTAGCCAAATATAATCAGGTACAGTTCAAACTGTTTATCAAATTTGCAGACCTCTTCTGTAGGTTAACATTAACCAACTTGATCAGATTAACTTCCAAAATTAGTATAATGTTAAATGTTCTCTGTTTCCTGATGATGGTACTATTTCTTGAAATGTTTGCAAAGAGTTTCACCTATTGTACTCTAATTCAACACTAGTTCTAATTTTAAAAATGTGGATGCAGCTTCTTCGCATTGAAGAAGAACTTGGCAGCGTTCGCTATGCTGGCGAGTCTTTCAGATCGCCCTAGGAGGTAGAAAATTCAAGGGGACAGGAATAATGTACCAAATTAGGCTGGAGGTGGGCTTGATATAGAGAAATATAGAGGATTTCTGGAGAAACAATATGCAGAAGTTTCTTGTGCGACGTGTTCGGATTGACACATTACACAATTGAATCGAGTGTTACCACGAGAGGATTTAAATTTTTGTTTTGAACTATCCATGGAAATGTTTGTTACAAAGTAATGCAGTTTTCTGTCTTTTCTGATATGCAAACTACTATACTCAGGGTTTCTCTGAATTTAAAAGCTATTCCATTATAGAAACCTAATTCTCTTCTATGCTATGTCATCAAATATTGAGCAGATAAAAAATGCTTGCATGACGAACAGATACTCGCATGCTCTATTTCTCATTTTCCAAGGCCATCCAAGGAGCTGAAAATTGTTAATAGCATCAGCATTTCCATTACAACTTTATCATCAATACTGTATGATTTGAAGATTATGGAGGGGTAAAATGAACATAAAAGGCCACCATAAAAAATCAAGTTCCAACTAAGAGCTAATCTATTATAATTATGGGTAGAAGCAGATTTCCTGGTAGAGACTGGAAGACGCTCGACAATCCCAGATCTGTCAACACCTAAATTTGAATAGCAGGACCAGCATACATCCCCGGTCGCATATACAGGTCGTCGGGGGTTTCAATTTTTGCAAGCCAGGCATAATCTTCAATTCCCTCATCGCTTAGTTCAGGTCTGGATTCTGCAGCTGATTTTTGAAAAGCCACTGTGTCTGTGATTTGTTGATTAAATGAAAAACATAAAAAGTACAACATCAAAGGAGAAAATGTTACTTACAGAAAGTTGAATAAGGATTGTCATGGTAGTATGTACATCTTCTTCCTTTATCTTCGTCATAAGGAGGCGAGAGTATGTCAAGCACGGCACAGGGTGAAACTGCAGTGAAACTGTGCAGATTACCGCCAGTCTTCGGGTACAGAACTGATGTTGCACTTGATGCTGTTAGAACTTTATCAACTGCTAACTTTGCCAATCTTACTGCAAAAAAGATCTCTTTTAGATTTATTTCTATTGTCCTAGTGCCTGACAATATATTTTTTTTTAATAAGAAATCGAGCTTCCCTTGAGAGACAATTAAAGAATATATGCATACAAAAAAAAAAAAAATCCCAAAAAAAGGGACCAGTCTATATGAAGGGTCAGTCCAAAAGAGTAAATAATTACAAAAATCCTCCGAGACCAACGCCCACATGGAGGAATTAAATCTAATAATTTTCCAACTTCCTCCCAAGGCATCTCACGTCTCTAAAAATTATACTATTCCTCTCCGGCAAACATTCAGCAAAATATCCAACTTAGATCAACTCATGATATCAAGCTTCAGTCAAATATGAAATATTCATTCCATCAAGCTTAAAGATATAAAGAAAGAAAATAGTCATTAATCTATTGCTAATTGAAGATGGTATTGATATAATATTAATGCTAAACTACAGCTTCCCAATTCAGAATACTCAAATCAAAGCTTTGGACTGTCTAAAAAGTACTTATGAGCTAAAAATCGATATCCCATCTTTGTTTAATATAACCAAGGGAAATGCAAGCCAGTACATACAATCTGCTCATCTGTATAACATACTGAAAATTTGTTGCAACAGTTGTTTGAGCCAAAAAAAGGCAAGGAGAAGAGAACTGCATTCAGAAGGTAATGGCCAAGGGACAAGATCTGCTATCAATTATATCTTGAATATATCAAACAGTTACCTTAAAAGTTAGATCGAACGATCATAGGTTTGGTAAACTGCATAATTATCTACAATGTTTTCCATTTAGTGGGTCTTAATGATATATGATATTCATAGACTCGTGGTTCTAATTTTATCGATTTTATCGGCACTGAGTGTTCATGCTGTTATGATGAGATGTTTCAATCTAGTAAAAGTTCCTTTCAGATTTCAAGTGATAGACATTATCAATACTACGAGCACGACAGGTAAATCTGATGAAACTGTAAAAATAGAATAGTAGACAACCATCAAGACAAAATTCAAAATGATCTATCACCATTCATCGATTATTAACATACGTCTTGAAAACAAGTTGATAATGGAAATCAAACCTGGAAAATATGTGGAACCCTTGCTTTCCTGAATGAATGCAGGTTCAACCCAGTCATAGGCTTTCACATGAAGAGAACCATAGAGAACTTTGCTGAACACAGTCATCCCAGGATGATCATGAAGGGGGATCACTGAAGAAGTAGGAAAGCAGAATATACATATCTGCATCGTGGCAATAAGTAGACTCATAAGCGTAATTATCACTTAAAAGGCTTTAAAGGAAACTAACCAAATCCCATAGCTAAGGCGAGTCATTCAAAGATGTTGTTGCTGATAATTTCGACATTATCTTATACAAATAATGTGTTTTGCCTTTTGATTACATAAGCGATGTAACTAGCTCATAGGATGGAAGTTTCAGGAAAAGTAACCATATCTCTGGTTTAAGAGCAGAAAATTTCCCGTGCCTGATTTTTTTCTTCCTAAATAGAACTCAACAATGAATATGTATAACCAAAATCCCAAGCTACAAAAAGTTCCCATTTAAGAAACGGGGTGGATGGGACTTACTGTAAAACTTTCACCTTCAAATATATCGACATATGTTATTGGCTGAGCCCACCGAGCTATCCTGTTGAATTGGTTCAGTCCAAAAAGCCCATGCCCCCGGTCGTCATCAATATTCTCCTCTTTAAGCCCAACATCACCGGGGCCAACTGTGTCTGTGAAGGGAGCATACAACTGAATGTGTCAAAGAGTGGAGTCTAATGCAGCACATAAGGTAATCTGGCCTACTTGAAGAAGCTTTTAGTTTTTTAAACCAGCAATATTCTTTAGAACAGCAGCCTGGACTAGATTCAGAAAAGACACAAGGGAACATCATAATAATTGATGGTCTTGCTAATTTAGCAATAAACCATTCCTCAAAGTGAAAATTAAGAAAATATAGACACATGCACCCATCCATTGATTGAAATCCTCAATCATCATTGTTTGCACCAAGAATTACAGAAATAGTAACTACTGGAAACATCAGAACATGACCATATTTTCACTCCAAACAATTGAATGCCTATCATTGCAGATATACTTCACACAAGTCACATATAAACTAATGTTAGGCTTAAGACTGGAGATTCAAGAACAGTTTGAAATTGCTTATGACTGGAAATTCAGAGACCTGCCATTTTTATTCACAAATCAACCCATGGGAATAAGTAATGTAAATTGTATGAATAAAATTGTGGCTTGGCTATAAATCCCAAGCAACTTCCACCAAATGCCATTGCTAATGTAGAAGATAAATATGTTCACTTCTAATTCTCGGACGGCTTGTGAGGTTTTATCCAAATAATTAACGATAATTTAACAACGTCGCAGCGAAATTAAACAACAGGTCCAAGCAGAAGCGACTAAAAGCACGTGAAATTCAGAAATTTCCCGCAATGTCAAGGTTTTCTCTAAAACAAATTCGTAAAGAAAAAAAAAAAGAGAGAGAGTGTGAGTGAATTATACTCTCATTCCAGCTGAAGAAACAGAGTGAGGGTCTTGAGACCAACTAATCAATGATTCAAATCCATCAATTCCACCTCCACCCTAAGCAAACCCAGCATTAATTTACTTGAACTTTGAACCCAGAAGAGAAATTGAGCCAGAAATCATAAGAAACAACAAGAAAAATTGTCCGAAAATCAAAGTAGAACAGAATGCAGTAAAAATTTAAAAGAAAGAGAGAGAGATTACCCAAGAGGGAACATAGCTTCTGGACAGTTTGAGAAGAGAGGGGAGCGGCGGAGGGAGTTAAATTCTTCTTGCAGAAGTCGTAGATGGCCTGAACTTTGGAAATCCTCTCGAGACTCATGCTCGAGTACCTAAGAAACTGTGAGGAATCGGCCTTGTTTTGTAAAAATAGCCTGATCTTATCGGACAATGTACGGGATTTTGAGAACATTTCGGAAGAATTTGATAATTTTGAGAAAAGGAAAATATACAAATTTGTATTGAGATTATGAATCAAACCGCACCAGTCTGCTAATACGCACGATTTTTTATTTTTTATTTTTTTATTTGAGAAAAGGAAGACGCACGATAATTGATCTGACGTAAATATTAAAAAATCAACCATCAAATTTTACCTTTGGATACCTTACATTTGCATTTTCAATTTAATTTTATTGATGACTCGCATAAATATTGCAAATTTTATCTTAAAATTTATGGGATTGTATTTAAGGAATCGTTAAAAATAAATAAATAAATAAAAGATGATGTGCATTTTATGAATTTATAGAATATATATTTACTACGAAATTAAGAGTGAATGCGAATATAATTAAATGAACAAGAAATCAATCTCTTACTTATATTTGTTGTATTTTTTTAATAAATATATTTTGTATTAAAGAAAATATAAAATTAATTAGATTTCATAAAAAAACGAGACTAACTCTTAAGTTTTTTTTTATAAAATTTGCAACTTTTTGAAAAACTGATTATAGGGTCAATTGTATTTGTATCATTATGCTTGGATCGGATTTAATTTTATACTTAAACGAAATTAAAAAAAATTATCGTATCATTTTTTACGGATGATTTAATATAATATAAATTACCAAGGTAAAGATGGTTGAATAGAATAAAATATGACAATATAAACTTAATTCAATTGTAATCCGCACCCATTCTAACTGAGAGGTCACAGGTTATATCCTTGATATGTATTAAAAAAATGTCAGAATGGCTCTGCATAAAAGCAAGAATATAAAAAGAATATAAAAATTAAATTGAAATTTTGATTTTCTTTTTCGTCTTAATATTTGTTTAGACATTTTTTAAATTTAAATCCATGTCAGACTGTCGGTCTTTTCTCCGGTTCAGACCGTAAGCGCGACTATGAGAGACCCGCTCCCATCCCCATCAATTTCATTTTGGCGGCAAACCTCCATTTTCCCCAAAGCTTGGCAACTTGAATTTCTCTCGATTTGAGTCTCTCATCTACTTTTTCTTAGGGAAAAAAAGCTTATTTTTTAGGAAAAATTATGGAAGGAAGTAAGGGCGAAGCGGTATTCGATTCACTGAATCTGAATCCACAGCTCTTCATTAATGAAGCTCTCAATCTTGTCGACGATTTGGTCGATGACGCTTTCGATTTTTATCAATTGTATTGCTCTCTGTCTCGCATCGTCTCTTCAATTTAGTTTTTCAGTTTTGTTCGGTTAATTTGATTCTTGCGAATTCTTGTTACCTTCAGACAAGCATCAGCCACCTTGAAGACCGAGGGCGTGGATAAATCCCAGGATCTTATCATGGTGAGGTTTGAGTTATATTTCTGTCTTCCGATTGGTTAAGTTGGTACTCTGAAGCATTAGTTTGGAATGGGCACAATTCTCTTTGAATAAAATTGTTTATTTACCTTGTTCGTGTAGGGCATATCGCGCGTCCGATCGTTCGTCCATTCAGTTTTGGATAAGCGGTTGGCCATGTGGGAGAAGTACTGTCTGAATCACTGTTTTGCGGTCCCTGAAGGCTTTTCTTTACCCTCAAATGTAGGTTCTTCTATTCTATCTGTGATGAGGCCCTTACACTTTGTTACGTGAATTCGTTCTATTATTGTTGTTTTTGTAATTGAGTTCGTTGCCCTTGCTGTTCGAATCACTTCATAAGTGATTTATATTGAGCATGTAAGACGGCTACTTGCTTATGCAGCGAGTTGCCCACTTATACTGACTTGAGAACTTCCTCAATTAATTTTTAAAAAAGGCTCTATTACTATTTCATCATTGAGTTTCAAACTTTTGCAACATAGATTCCTCATTTTGATTGCTATATCTTAACGTGGTTCAGTTGATACTGGTCGTGACTGTATAAGATTTTCTAACTCTAAAAGTATTGTAAACAAGTGCCTGCTGCATTTTTTAGAAAAACACTGTGGTGTATCATGCTCCTTTTTCTTTTTTTCCCTTTTTTTGTTTTGTCAATCATATCTGAATCCTAACCTCTGTGAGGTCTAGTTCGACTCCTTTTGTTGTGCATCAATATAGTTGCGTGGGTTAGCAGTGTTTCTGTCTGTTTCACTGGGATCTCATTCGAAGCCTTGACTATTGTCAAGTTGCTAAATTGTCGATGGTTCCCTTATCTTGTTTGAGAACTTTGAGTTATGGTTAATTGAGTCTATGTATTCTCTTATTATTTTTCTTCTTCCTATGCAACAAACCCATTTCTAATTCAGATCGAAATATTTTCCTTAAGTTGTCTTAGGATGAATCACCTGCCGACACTTCGATAAGTCATGATTGCCTCTATGACGTGGGTCTGGATACAGAGTTAGATTCTTTGAGGAACAGGCTCTCTGAGGTAATAATTGTGCCGCATGTTTTTTACTTCTCATGTTTCTGTACATAATATTTCATAAGAAAACATATTTTTCAGGTCAGAGAAGAGAATGTTGTATTGAACCAAGAACTCCAAGCTTTAGAAAGGCAAACTGCTTCCAGTAACTCACAAATCAATCATTTCAACGAGGCATTAGAATTATACGAGGAGACTTCAGTGAATGAGAGGTTCCAGGGTAATTAAGTTGTGGTTAAAAATCGTTGTTTGCTCGTGCACTGTTAGATATCTTATAAATAATTAAATTTACCCTAACCCTTCAAGTTAAACTTTTGGATTTATTGGTAGGTTAATCATGTTTAAAATGCACTCCTGGGCTTACATATGCATTATCCTAGTAGTATACTCATGAAGGCTGACCCATAATGTCATATGCAATTAACGTATGAAGCTGACTTATTTTATTTTTTCTTATAAGGAAGTTTTATTGTCAGAATTGGCTTGGTAGACTAAAATTTCTGTAAACACTTAACTTTCTGCTCTGAAGGATCTTATGGCCTGCATTTCTCCTTGTGACGCAAACTGTGATACATACAAAAGAATTTCAGTGAACATCTGCTAAATCGTTACGTTCTGGTTTCATTTGGGCAATTTTATTTTACATCAAGGAATAGATTTAGTGGATATTCCTTTTTGTTTCCCCTTTTCAATTGCTCATTGCGTAAAAATGGAACTTTAGTCTGTGAATTCTGTAGTTTCTCTAGCTATTTTCACTCTAAAGGTCACTCGGGACAAAACTTACTAATTTGCATAAATTTTCATTGTACCGAAATTTTAACAGTGGACAAATAAAACCTGTTCATGATTCATGGAGATAAAATTCTAACATATATCAAATTTCTGCAGAAGTGATGAACACTGCTTCGGAGCTCCGAGCGAAAATAGGAAAGCTGAAGAAAAGGAGGATAGAGGAATCCAAGCTCACTAAAGTAGAGAAGGTTCATACAAATGGCGACATGTCTCACCATCACAAGGGTAAGATTTTCAAGCTACTTCACGCATCAATCAAGTTGGTTTTAGCTTTGTGGGAAGGCGAATACAATATTGTTCCACATGATATTTGATGCTTGTTTCTGCTCTGCAGGCTTCTCTAATGCTAAGCTTGATGACATTCAAGAATTTTTAGCTGATTTGAAGACCCTTTGAACTTGTATCATTATGACATCAACCTTAGTGTATATGAAGCTTGCTGTGAAACTTGTCGCTATGAATTCTTCAATGTTTTAACTTGATTTAGCTGTGAGATGTTCCAAACCATTTTTTTATGATATACCATTTGAGTTGATGACATTTCTTAGCAGCCTCCTTTGAGAGTTTACAGATAGGCCATTAATAGGTGTTGGGCTCAATCCTATTTCGAAACTTTTACTATATATCCCCATCAATTATTGTGATTTGCATTATCAGGTCAGCATGATGGTTTCAGAAAGTACATTCGCTGGTTTGGCTCTTTAATTCAGCTGGCTTAGATGGTATGACTTTTCTGCTTGCTGTTTATGGCAGTCTTGTACGAAAGCCTCCATGTTCCTCATTCAAGGCCAATAGTTTTACTTCTTTATGCCAATGGAGGAAAGTTTTTCCACCCAATCCGCAGCATTGGGAGACCTCACCCCCTTGGTCGACGTGTGGAGTATTGAAATTGACATTTGTTTTGGTATTCATTATGTAATAGGAATCCGTGTTATCAAAGCAGCGAGATTCAACCAATTTTTGTGACCGTTTTATCATTGAGAAATAGGACTTCGTGAATTATAAAAGGATATCGAGCTGCTTCTCTACATGACCTCCCAATAAAAAATTAAGTATTGTGGATTATTCAAGAATTGAAATCTAGTTTCTTTATAATAAAAAATATATCATCTTGTAACTTTTTTTGTTCATATCATGATTTTGCCTTTATAAATAAATCTTTAACATGGGTAGATCTCACCTCGTTTTTAATATAATAGATGATATTGAATTGAACGTTACTTTAGTGAAAGTACAAAGACTAAATGTGTTTTTTATCCTACGTTATTGTTTTTCTCCCACATGCCTATCGCCTAATACAAAACCACCGGCTCAGAAATTTTTTTTAAAATAAACTAGTACTTTTTCAGACTATTGTTTTATGTTTTGTTTTCAGTGAAACTAGGACCGTATTATCATTTTCTTTATTAGTTCTTATTTTATTGTTTTTCTTTAGAATTAATGAAGTATCGATCCAAAGCAATTTCAATTCTGAACTACAAATATTCAACGCAAAAGAAGCTTACTCCACACACTTCCTTTGCTCATCCAATAAGCTTTACAATGGGATTCCAATTCACTACTTAATACTCCATTCTCATTTACTTCCATTTGCAGTCCAAAATCTTCAACCCGCCATGGCCAAACTAAAGAAGAGAGACCAAGCCCGAGCAATAGCGAAGCAATTTGAATCCAAGCACCTCAAAATAAGGCAAAAAATTGGCCTCACGGGCAATAATGAAAAAGCAGAACTCTGCTTCCGAAGAGCTTTGTCTCGAAATTTTGGGATTTCATTCACAATTCCAGATCGTATGGCCACAGAAATCAACGACAAGAAGAAGATAAGTGGATTGCACCCTCTGAGAATCACCAGAATCCCATGTGGCGGGCCAATGGAGTTTCATGAAATTGTAAAAGAGGCTGAGAAATTGTCACCTCCATTGGAGAATCAGCAGCAAGGAAAGCCACCAGATCCCAAAGCAGAATATCATAGAAGCCGATTGAATGAGTGGCATCCCCAAGTGTTTCATTTCATCTCTCAAAATTGATCCTCAAAATTCCACAAAATGTATAGTTTGCAGAGAAGTTCAAACTAGCCAAATCTCCTTTCAGAATCTTTCATTTAATGGGTTTTTTTCTTTTCTTGGAGCGAACAACTTTGTTACAATATATTCCATATTTGTTTCTCGCTTTTTGATCTTTCCTTGAGTCGTTAGCTTATATAAAAGGCCATGAGAGTACTTTTTATCTGCTAGAATGAGAATTTGATTACTATTTCACTTGTAAAAGGAGAGCCCTTATTTTATTTTTTCAAACTCAAGTGAAGCAACAAAAGCTGCAAAATGAAAGGTCCTTTGAGATAAATGTGTAGTAGACTGACGAAGCAATTGTCTATAACCATCTTCAAAGTTTTTTTTTTTTTTTAAAAGAAAAAGTTTTGGAAAAATATTTTTAGATAACTTTCTAATATGTTTTAATAACATGCAGAATTACCATCACAAATAAATATCTACATTACAACATTTGATGTCAGAAAACCATCATGAGATTTAAACTTATTTTCTTTTAATTAACCATAGTTCTTTAGTCCAATGAACCACCCATGATAGTTAATTAATACTTTATTATTAAAATGAGGTATTTGTAATGTATTTCAAAACGGGACAATGAAAATTAATAATCTTTGATTGCCACCGACTCCTGGGTAGTCAAAAAATAAAAATAATCCTTGACTGACCCCTCCTAAAAATAGTTTATCTAGCAATCAAAGTAAACATTGAAGATTAAACCTCATTTTAGAAACATACGTGACTCCTGAGGTCTGCGTTATAGGCAGCAATATTTCAAAGTATATATTTATATATATTAGCAAGATGGGATGTAAAAATATAAAATATTGGCAACAAGATTATAGAGACTAGAGTGAAGTTGACTGACCAAGAACATGCCATAAATGTTTTTTTTTTTAATTCAACATATTCTCGAATCA